TAGTTACTGCCAGCAGATCTGCGCTCACTACAGACAACGTAGACAAACTAATTTTTTTGAAGAAAAACCTCAAAATTGAATGACACTTTAGTAGGACCTTCTCAAGAGGTGCATAGTTGACCGAATTGCACATGTGATGCTCCTAAAGGCACCGATTTGATTTATTTTGTATTTTCACACCTGATGATTCAGTTCTGGATGTATTTGTATTCGCACTTGGCTGGAGGATTTGAAACACTTTTTATTTTTGTAGATTTTCAGTTTCGGACCTGTTTGAATTTTTTTGTTTGACTTGTGTCAGTATGGAGATATAGCTGATGTGAGAGTATTTCATTGTTTACATGTAACTGTGCAAAACAACATTCTGATGTTACCAAAGTGCTGCCTGTCTGTCTCAGTATTTACCTGTTACCTGAAAGTGTTTTTTCTTTTCCTATACAAACAGAGTGAATGAATGCTATTAGAACCCGAATGCATTCGTTTTATGTTTTATTCTGTTTATTTTTAACAGGAGTTGGTTTTTAGTTTTGCAGTCTTTTCAAAATAAATGAAAAAAGCTGGTCTTACACGTCTGACTTTTTGTTTTTTTTTTTCCGTTGTACTGAACCGTGACTTGTGTCACCGTTACTCCCCCAGCGAGTGATGAGCAGGAGACCTGGTTCCAGGGACGACGGCTGATTCCTGCTGGACTCTGGAGACGTACCTGCTGCTGATCATTCCAGAAGATCAAGACCTGGATTTTGAGTAGTGCTGATGGAACATGTGATGTAGGTACCATCACAGACGTTCACACTCACCAGCTTCTGGATCATTCAGCTCATGAAACGGACAGAAAACGACTTTCTAAAAAAAACCTAAAATCCGATTTCATACGACAAACATTAAAATCACTGATGTCTGAAAATGCAAACAATTTAGTGGCAAAATTGACATTTTTAAAATCGAGCTGCACAGAAACCCGACCTGATACAGAAAAGCAGACGTCATGTTTGGATTCAGTGAAGTCCTGAACCAGTTAAAAACCCGAAACATCTTCTAGTTCTGTCAACGTTTCAGGAACCTTCAGAGGAACGTCTCACCTGAACACAAACAATCAGACTTCAGTTTAACTCAAATGTTTTTATTCAAACGTTCTCAGAACAGAACAGAGAACGTGTCCGGGTTTGGGTCAGGGCAGAATGTTCTGAACATCCAGAACCGAACCGTTCATCTCTGCTGATTTGAACTCGTCACACAAACCGTCCCGTTGATCCTGATGTTTGATGTTCAACTAAACGTGACGTCATGAAGCAGAAACATTAAACCTCGCTCACGTCACGCTCAACTACCAACACGTTCATTCACTCATCAACAGTATTGATCCGCTGCAGCGAGGCGATCAGCTGTATTGATCGGAGGTGAACAGAGACTCAGACTCGGTCGTGAGTTTGACGGTTTATTGATCACATCTGCTGGTTTACAGACGGCGACCGCGGCGGCCGCCCTTCCTCCTGGTCGAGTCCGACGGGATCGGAGTGACGTCCTCTGAACACAAGAACAACAGACAGACGTTACATCACAGACCTGCAGCGACCGCCATGTTTGTTTTCTGTTATGCTAACATGCTAACGAGGACTCAGGACTGACTGACTCCTAAACCTCCTTCAGTTCTGACTCCAGCTGAGCTGCTCAGCTAAAACATGACCGGCGGTTAACCCGACTGGTTCTGATGAGGCTAAACGGGTTTAATCATCTGGATTCTGGTTTGTTTGTTCTGGATGTTAAAATAAAACAGACCACAGTAAACACCAGATCTGTAATGATCTAAATCAGGGTGAAGCACCAGATGATCAACACTGAGAACGTCCAGCAGTAGAACCGGGTCGGACTCTGTGGGTCTTATTAACGGTTTACATCAGTTCAGAATATTTTCAGAATTTATTCTTTTCAAGAACACTTGAAAAAACGTTTGACGTGTTGATTGCAGGTTGTTTAAACGTTTAACAGAGTCCTGACAGACGACCAAGTTCTGGTTCTGCGGGACTTTATGACAGGTGAGTCCACCTGTCGAGGACAACTAGCGGCAGCTGGTGAGCAGTGAACCTACCGATGCGTCCGATCTTCATTCCAGATCGAGCCAAAGCTCTGAGAGCCGACTGAGCTCCGGGACCAGGAGTCTTCGTCCTGCAACACAGAGACGGGTCAGAATGTCAGAACCTCACCTACACAGAGTCAGAACCAGTCTAACCCCATCTGACCCATACTTGCTGTTTTCTGACGACAGCAGAACACGAGGTTTAATGCCTGCAGCTAGTTTCGGGTTTTTCTCACATTTTAACATTTAAATGATCAAAATGGTTCGAGTGAATCAGACCGACGCCGTGGTCCGGTTCCCAGATGGTCACACAATCATGGTCCGGTTCCCAGACGGTCACACATCAGATACCAGACGTACAATAAATAAAGAGACGTTTCATCTGCAGGCGCAGCAGCTAAAAGTTCATCATGTAAATATGAAACGACCAGTTATCTGCAATCAGCCTCGTTCACACAGACAGTGTTCTGCTAAGGTTCTGGTAATGTTCTGGTCCTGACGTATGAAACCCAGTAAACTAACAGCAGCTGGTCAAAGAGTCCAAATAAGGAACAGCTCAGGTTAACTGTCACCTGTCTTGAGGTGTTCAGGTGCTGCTGGTCCATGTTGGCCCACTGAT